CGTCCCAACTCTGTGCAAAACCCGAGCTGAGTGATTGGTCTTTGCCAACGAACACTACTTCTTGCCTGCGAATCACCTGTTGGCGCACCCTGGCACCTTAGCTTCCAAGCGCTCAACCCGCGGGGTTGCTTATGCGCACGCGGACATCAAACTTTGAATAGGCTCCTCACCCTTCCATCCCAGCTGGCACAGAGTGCTCACTGAAATTGCAAACAGGGCTTTGTGCTGCTCTGTTGAATGCATTACAAAATCAACGGCTGACTCGTGACTTAGTTGATCTGAAAACCTGCGTCCCTCTTTGCAGCAAACACCTGATCAAAAGCGCCTTCCCATCAAGCTCCGAAGAAATCTTGATGCAACCCAAACAGACCAGCAAGTTCATTGCAGATGGACAGGGAGCCCCTGAAAGGGGACGCCGAAAAACGAGACTTCTCTGCACACGGCGTCTTGAGTTCCAAATGAATCTGGGGAGTAAGATCCCGGATCCAGATCTTAGAGCCAAGCTCGTCTTATCTGAGGCCAGCAACAAGTCCCAAAAGCGCATGATTCATGGATAGCATCACACTGTGGATGGACGAAATCCTGCACCACTTTGAAATTTATGGGAAACCATTGTTTGTTGGTATTTGCAGGGGAATCATCGTTCCGGGGTCTCTTCAGTGGTGCAGAATTTCGTCCATCCGCAGTAGCATCACATTTGCACCTTCAGGCCAATTGGGATAGGTACAAGATGGAAGGCTAAGCGTGTCAAGCTGAAGAGTCATGTATTGAAATCGCAGCCTGCCGCTGATTGGGAAGTGCTCCCATCAAATCCCGTTGTGCGATTGTGGATTGCAGCTTGGGCAAGCCTTTCTCCAGCGAGTCACTCTCGGATGCTTTTGTTTCAATCAAACGCGAGCAGGGCTTTCGGAGCGAGACGTGTTGAATGCACCCGTACGAGTGGAGCCCATTTCCAGCCATGCTGTCTTGGGCTATAGCATGCTATAGCCAGCTTCTTTGTGCCAGACAACTCACAAATATCACGCCCCGGATCCATCATGACCTGTCAAAAGACAACACTTAGATTAGGCCTTGCTCTTCACAGGTCGCATTGTGCATGGACCTGCGCCATGCAATCACTTTATAAGTGCGAAAACTTCTGGCAACCCTCCACATGCGCACAGGGCTAGTCTTTGCCATCCGACAATTGGCCGACTCCTGATCATGGCACTCAAACGTTTCCTATGCCGTGCACTTTCCCACATGCGTGTGTCTTCCAAAGGTAGTCTCTTCGAGATGATAAAAGAGGATACTTAGAGGAGAACGTATGTTCTAGGTCTCCATGTTGAAACCAACATATACTGATCCAGGTTCGAGAAAAAGGCGCGCTGGGTTGCGTGTCAACCTGCGGAGATAGGAGTCCTGCCATCACATCGGAGTCGCAAAGAAAACCGGAGCACCAGGTTTGTTCGGAAATTCGATCAAGAAACACCTTAACAACTGTGGCAGCGATGAACGGGGACAAAGAAGCAAGCAATGAAAAGCAGACGGAGATTCAGACCTGTTCCAACTCAGCTTTATTCACTTGCTTCACAAAGCACAAACCGTAGTTGCCATTGACTAACGCCCTATTGCATAAACAAGTTGCCTTTTTCAAAGACATAGGCGATCCCTTGATGCAAGACTCCCTGCTCACGTGCAGCAGGCATCATAAGTCACCCACCGCCACCTTGAACAAATTCTCAGGAGACCTTTGTGGAATAATGTCAACCCCTGATTCATTTGAAACCCCCAGTGGCTAATTAGAGGTCCCTGTGAGATTTGGGAAATGCCCACAGAACAAACGACGTCTTTCATAACTGCGAAACGCATCATTTCTGAAGGAACTCCACTTTGGAGACAACCTTGTTTGGGTTGCATGCTATTTAATTTTCTGAGTCAAGGGTCAACCTCACAAAGGCCTCTCTTCTACTCTCAGGGGCAAGCGTACTGATCCTGACCACACTGCGGGCACTCGTCATCCTGCACAGGTTCCCGTGTCGCACAGCATGTGTCCCACCAATCCACCACCGAGCAAACGTAGTCACCCTTGCTGCTGGTCACGCCCAGATTGTCCCACGCCGCCTTGCACTTCCTGCAGCGGATCTCAAATGACAACCCGAACCGGGTGCAAAATACCAAGGCGTCTTTTTGGGGGTACCCCTTGTTTGGTGGTTTCAAAGGGAAACCAAAAGGAAACCCAGCAGAGGGGAAAGGTCCCTGACCAAAAGACGCCATCCCCTTGATTGCCTCGACGCAAAAAGTAAGCAAGCACCATGTGGTTGCCCAGTTTCCAATGTCTAAGCCTGAAACTGGAATATCGCGTTGACCAAAGATGTAAGATGTTGCATTGCTCGTTGCATCCTACAAACCACTAATTGCACTTTGAGTGTGTTGAGTCCAGTTTGTTAGATGGACATCTCTCGATCTTGAATCAAGCAGGTGTATTCTTCACTTTGCGCTGCTACACGCAACTTGCCTACCTGTATCGCAGGTTGTCTTTTGATGATCCAGACTGCCAGCAAATGGGTAATGCGCAGGGGAGAAAGGACGAACACCAAAGCCGGTGAATTCAAAAGGTCAAGTCTGCCGTTTTGCGCAAGTGCGCAGTTGCCCAGCAACCCTGGCAACAAGGGACCTCTTTTATTGGGCTTGACCATTTTAGTGCGACACCTACCGAGCAACCAGGGAAAACTTAAATGTGAAATTCACTGCGACTGAGCTGCGGATTGTTCAAAGTGAAGTATTGGCTGTCGAAGGCCTTGGTGCACTTGAAGTAGCCCCTGGGGCACTTCATCACAATCATGTCAAAGGTTCTCTTGCACACATAGTCCACGTCCCAGTCAGGAACTGCTCCGCTGACCTTGGCTGGTGGGACAAAAAGGACTCAGTTAAGCAGCGTTCAAAACTCATTGAGTGTGGGTCGGTCATGAATTCTTATGCAAAACTGCTCCATACAGTAAATCCCCGTTCATTTGGGCAGCAGGGAGGGTGTTTTCAAGCGCTGCTGAATTGCAGTCATGTGGCCAGCTACTACAAGCCGGCCTTTGCTTGAAAGGGTATCAACTCCACACAATATGTGGGAGCCATCTCAAAATGGAGCCGCTGTTGCGTTTCAATGGGGAACCCATGCTGGTTTCCCCGATAATGGTTTCCCAGCTCATTTTGCGACACACTGTTTGGTGGACATGACTCCACACTCCTTTGGCGGTTGGTGGACATTTCCCAAATCAAAAGGTTGTCCGATTGCTTTGCCTTTCTGGTTCTCACGGAGTGAGAATTGGAATGACCCCCGAAAAACACCATTCCGAACCCAAACGGTCCATTCCCACTCAAACCATCAACAGTCCCCAAACGGCTCATTCAACACATTCGGACTCGGCTCATCGTAGCGGCATGCAAACCTCCGTAGATCAAGGCCTTGGCGACGCCTTCCGGGTTCGCGAAGCCAGCGGCCGCCTGCCATCGATCGCGCGCCGGTGTCGGGATTGGCTTTCAATGGGTGACTCGTCTTTTTGAAGCCCCTTGGTGGGTGGTGAAGGGAAACCGAAAGAAAAATCCAAATTATTTGTTAAAGGCCCTAGTTGGAGACCCTACTCAAGTTCCAGGTCCATTTTCTCACTTGCTCCCTTTGGGCCCAGAAATAAAAGGTTCAGGGGCCAGGAGCTAGGCTTTGGGCCTTGTTTGAGTATGCCCCATAGACTATAAAGATTCGGTGCTCCCGGAAGATCAACTGGTGGACAAGTCTACCAGGTTAGCGCGAACAAATGTAGCGTTTTGGGAGTTGCCAGCCTTTGCAGCTTGGGACAAAAGCAAAGCCGCAGCCATTCTTGGGGTCCAAAGCTCTGTGACACATGCGTGCTGTCTTTCCAGAGTGATTCCATTTTCCCTGCGTTGATGTCTTACTGAATGGATTGGCAAAAGAAGAAAACAAACACAACGTTCAATTACCGTTCTGAAATGGTGTTCCCAAACAGTGACTAAAGTCCAGGAGCTCCGGAGATATGTTACCCAGAAGCAACCGAAGGCTAAAGCCATGGTATTACTTACAACACCGGACAGGCAGTTGAAAAGCAAGCACTACAACAAAAACCCGGCAAAGAGCTGTCCAATCAGGACCCCTTTCCAAGGGCTTTCCGGAAAATCTGTGAATAACCCCCGGGTTGAACGGATCCGTAAATGGTCCAAGGGTCCACTTGTTGAACCTTTCCTAAGTCCAAGCGGCGAATGTTCAGGAAAGTCACACACCGAAGCCGCAACCCGAAGTCTACTCGCCTTCACAAACTCTTCGCTGAAGTGCTTCCCTGACATCTCTGACGCAGAGCAGCCCTCGAAACCTCGGATGCGAGCCAATCGGCTTAAACTGCACATGGCCACCAGACTCGCTTCGGGCTTTTCTCCAAACAAAAAACAAAAATACGTGACCGGATCACCATGTGGTTCTTCCCCGACCCAAACCTCAGGGCCCCCTATAAACGGAAAGTGAATCTAGGGAGGAAGAGGGGTGGAGACTGTATGGCTGCACCGAGCAGCAGGTCCTCGAGATAGCCTGACCTGGCTGCACCCCGTACCTAAGAACGGTGATCTGCTGCGGTATGTTCTTGTTCCGATCGCATCTTCCGGTTCCTTGGCGCAGTCAGGATGGCACGCTACTGCGACTCAAGCAGTCAGCCCCGAATCGATGAAATGCCGTCCCCAATTCGGGGCCCACATTTTTTTCAGGAATGAGATCTTCATGGAATGAAGGCTTGCCATGGTGCACTCGCAAATGGCCGTGGGTCAACACCATGGTACCATTTTGGGGTAGGTGCACCACCCATTCTAGTCTATTTTTTAGTGGAAATTGGGATGTTCACTGGGGGTGCGGGGTTTTGACCCATGGCCAAATACATGTTTTTTTTCCTGCCACTTCCCAAGCGCAGCAAGGCGGCCTGCCGAAGCATTGCTCTGGAGCTCCACATCGCTGCGACTCTCCGTTGCGCGCTTCGAGTGAACGAGGTAGAAGAGCGTGAGGAGCAGCGCAACGCGCGATTTGGCAAACATTTGAAACTTCCGGCCGCCACACATCTGAGACAAAGCGGCTAGAGGACACACGCATGCGGCGCATGTTGGAACATGTACCTTCCTATGGTTGAAAATTGATTGCCACATGCCCATAACGACTTTTATCAGCTCATAGGGGATTCGGTTGGTATCACAGAAACTGGCACTGCTAGGTCTGCCGGTTTTGGACTGATTCGTGCAACAATTCGACAGTACCCTTACCTCCACAAAAGTTCCCGCACCCGTGCTCCCCCTCTTCAGACTTCCCCATGGTCAAAGGGGTTGCGTTGCATTCGTTGAAAGGCAAGCTTGGAACCTTGGTTGCTGTTGGCCCCCCATGCAAAACGTTTAACTGTTTTGGGGTTTAGTGGAAAACCCCTTTATTTCCTGAAAAAGTTGAAGTCTAAAGATCCAACCCAATAGCAGTCAAGAAACTAAGCCTCTCCAAATTGCATCCTGCAGGAGGCAATCATATGCAGTTGGCAAGCCGATGGGTAGACCAGCATGAGCATCCAGGTTCGATGCAAGTGACTGGCCAAATTCAAACATGGAACGTATGAGACAGAAGAACAACAATTGCCGCAACAAAGGGGAACGACCTGGCCCTCAGGGCTATGCCAGCAATCTGCCTTTCAAATGTTCACTGCCCTTTCCAAGAGACGCTAAACATGTTTCCAATGGACCTCCGTCATAGGTGGTTGCCATTTGGGTTTCCCTTAAAATGACCCCAACAAAACCAAATGAACAAACAAACAAACAAGCAAGCAAGCAAGCAAGCAAACAAACAAGCACACAATCAACCAACCAACCAACCAACCAATCAATCAATCAATTAATCAATCAATCAATCAATCAATCAATCAACCAACCAAACAACCAACCAACCAACCAACCAAGCAAGCAAGCAACCAACCAACCAACCAACCAACCAGCCAACCAAACAATCAATCAATCAATCAAGCAACCAACCAACCAAGCAAGCAAGCAAATCAACCAACCAACCAACCAACCAACCAACCAACCAACAAACCAATCAATCAATCAACCAACCAACCAACCAACCACCCACCCAGCCAGCCAGCCAACCAACCAATCAAACAAATCAATCAATCGATCAATCAAACAAACAACCAAACTACCAAACAAACAAACAAACAAACAAACAAACAAACAAACACAGCAAACACAACAAACACAACAAACTCAACAAACAATCAGAAGCTATAAATAAACAGCCAACCAGCCAGTCCTTCGCTTGCCAACTGTCCCACCGCGAGCTGAGGAGCCGACCCTGGCTCCCTCATCCACCTGGACGGAAAACTCGAATGGGCTAAAGGCCAATCTAGTGATACTGTGGGTGGACGGAATCCATTTCGCACCACTTTGAAACAAGGGGAAACAATCATTTGTTGGTATTTACAGGGGAATCATCATCCCAAGCTTTGTTGGGTAGTGCAGGATTTTGTCCATTCACAGTGTGTCTCCGCCTGATGTTTTTTGACAGCCTGCCAAACCCCATTCAATGGTTGCATGACTTCGAAGGAAAACAAAAAACGTGAAAGCAGCCATGAGGGGGGCCCATGTTTTGAGCAGTTGCAATCCCTTTGTGAAAATATGCTTGATGAGGGCTCCCGGCTCATGTTGTCGCCTAGAAACATCACCTACATCAAAACTGGCAGTCAAAGGTCCTCACATTGGGGACAAGTTCGAACATGTCTGAAGGACAACCACAGAAATGCCTATTTTAGGGAGTATCCAAGTTTGGAGAACCCAGCAAATTCTTCCCATGTAGAACTTCACCCGAGGGGAACTTTGGTAGGTTTGTTGTTCAATCTTTGCAAGGTTAGGAAGTCAATCTCATGGCAAATCTGCGAATAATTGTGCAAACTGACATGGGACTTTGGTGACCATTTGTGTGAGAGTGCAAACTCATGTCATTACCTACACTACATTGCCTATGACTATGACTCATGGGTCCAATGTTGAAAATGCAAGGACGCCTGACCCTTCCGGGAAATCAAGGAAACCCAAGAGACGTGGTTGCGCTGGAATTGACTGTCGGTCGAGTTACTTTTGAGCCGTGTTCACCGTTGCTCATAGTACCTCACGCCCTTTTTCACGGGAGAAGTCCCGTGTACGGATTCTATGCCCGGTACCTCCCCTTCACCGGGATCCTGAAATTTGGAGCTCCAAACAAGTTGGTTCACTTCAATTCGTCATATTTCTGACCCAGCACTGAAACCCAGCTTGATTAACAGAGGGTATCTCATTTTAGCGGGGATCCTTCAGGAAACCATGGGGAGCAAGGGGTGTTGCTTGGGTTGGTCGTTTGTCAGGTCTCCAACTGAAAACTGCGAACACCCAAATGGTCCACGTTCAGAGACCCAGACAACTGAAGCCAACAAAGCTCAAAAAAAAACACATGGAAAACAACCAGGGGGAAAAAACCAATTAACTAAAGATAGAGGAACAAAAACACACACGCAAACAGCGGCCTGCAGGGTGATGATGATCTGGCTGTTGGAGATGGACTCCGCCATGATGAATCGCAAGTTGGGGTTCGTCAGGTCCAGCGTGGTGACGTAGTTGTTGGGGCACGCCTGCGAAGATCCGATGATTCAATGCCATACCCAGGGAATCTTCATTGCTCTTACTGGTCCTCAGTAGGTGTGAATCCGTATAGGAAAGAAGGCGGAGGTAGGAGATGCGCCCGGGATGGGGCCCAAGAAGGGTCCAACCAAAAACTGTCATAAAGGCAAACTCAATGAAGTCAGGACCAAAAGGTGATGCTTAAAACCACAGAAAGGAAGATATCTGAGCTGTGGCAGTTATTTGCTACATGGGTGAATGGTCGGGTGTTCGCACCTCGTTCTCCAACCCTGCGCCCGCTTGGACACATTGCCTTCGCCTTCCATCGCCGCAGGTGTGTGTGATCTCAACCATTGTCAATACCCTACTCCGTTTTGGGGCTGTTCCCACCTCGGTTTGCACCGAAATCGGTATGTTACCAACACAATGTTTCCACTTCGCCTTTACTGTAGCCTTCTGTAAATCAAGGCAGTCGCCAATACAAAGATTGCGCGCGCGGAGACTCCCGGGATTCTTCAAGGATGGTATGCATTTTACTTACAACGGCATGGCACCATTTGTTGGACGTCTCAGGTCATGCAAAAAGGGTGAGGCAAACTATACACGCAGCAGGATCAAAGCAGCCCAGATGTCTTTAGCATGGAACTGGGTTGTAAAAAGGAGATCTGGCCAAACACTTTATATACATCCCACTGTGTGGTTCTCTTTGCTGGCAATGCTACACTATAGTTTCCGAACAAAGCGCGCACCAAAGAGGCCTACAGCCGTGCCTGCTTAGACTAGCCTTCCCGTAGGCGGTGCGAAAACCATGCAACAAAAACACCAGGGCAACAAATGACATGGCAAGGCCAAGTCACCAGAAAACCCACTTGGCAGGGAAGCGTCAAAATTCCTTCAGACTGAACCCCGTTTTAATTGGTTGACCCCCCAGAACGTTTTTGGGGCTCATATCCATCCTGAGAACAAATGTGGCTTTTCAACTTCTGGACAAATCAAACAGGGTTTGCCTTTTCCACTGAAATGAACTCCGCTTCGCTTGAAAAGGGTGTCTACACCAGAAAGGCAAACCGTATTTGTCCCGCGGTGAACAAAATATGTCCAGTAGTGATAGATTCCATTTAAAACCAACAAGGGAAACCAGAAAACATTCTTAACCAAATGGAAGGTGAAGTACAGGTCCAGGACCTTCACGGACTCTCGTTTGGCTCGTACCCGTTTCGCTCAGACTCAACGCCTGCGAGGCGGCCATGCCATTGGGCCCGTAGTAGGGGTAGCCCTCGGCATCCTGACGCTGGCGTTCGAGAGGGCTTGGACCCGAGAAACTCAGCGACGAGGCCGCGGGCGCCGAGTCAAATTGGTGCAAACCAAGAAATCCCTTTTGCCGCGGCAATGTGGTTGGGGTACCAATACTTGGGAAATCTCTTTCAGGCCTGTTTGCTTCAAAACGGATGGATAAAATCCCAGGTGTTCAGGATGCCATTCGGGAAGATATGAACGTGCCAGAGCACAAACATGCCAACATCGATGGTGCATGGGTTACAATTTTGGTTGATTATATCCTTTGATTGGTAGGTGCCTGGCCAGGTTCTTCGGGGCTGGACCAATTGCCACATCCCATTGACAACTCGCCCCTTTTCAAACAGCGGCCATTAAATGTACAGCCGCGCACTCCAGCCTCTCACCTGCAAAAAGGATGGATGAAAAAATGAATGCCATTTTGCTGGGAGAGAATTCAAGGCGCCAAATGGGTAGTGGGCATGAGTTGAAATGGAGGAACCTGTGGACATCACCCACATGATCATGTAGGGCTATGTCCACCCGAGCCCAAGTACATTCCATCCCAGGTCCAGTGCATTCCATGTCTCTGCCCCATTTCAGGTCACAATCCAGGGTCCACCCCAAAATTCTGCATCTAAACTCAAGGCTTTCGCTTCATAGCCACACCTGCGTCTCTTTCAGGTATTTCAGGTAGGAGAAAGGACGCGTATCATAGGTATATATGTCAAAAACGGACACCCCAAACACGAGTTTTCTGATGGTGCGTTTGTTCAAACCCAGGTGGGAAGGACCGAGTCCCACAGGGCATGTTCAATCCTGATAACTTCCACGCTGAACACCGGGTCGCGCCCAAAAGCAACCCTCCAGGGAAACGCTGCCATTTGTTGAGCACCCTGCCCTGCCTGCACACCTGAGACAAATCAGAACCTCCCTGAAATCAACAACGCCTTCAATTCAAAGCACTTGTTGAACAGAGCTTGAGCGCCGCTGAACAGGGCTCCCTCTATTCCCCCCCCACATCACCGCACGAAACTCACTCCCGAAAGATGAGGTTTGCAGCGGGAAATCCATCGTCAGCCCGGTGGAATTGATGTGACGCCGTCGAGTAAAGCGACGGCGAACGTTTCTGGCCTGTGCCCAGCAGTAGACGTCGTAGTCCCACTTCCGGTTCAGAGGCTCCATGCCTCCGCGTCCGCGAGAAAAGGCCGGGACTTTCTGGGCTTGGATTGGAAAACCCCGAAAGCGACTCAGAAAAATGACGGATCTTCCCAAAATAGTTTGAAGGGACACCTCGAAGAAACCACTTAGTGCCACCTAGTGCTTGCTGGATTCATTGTCTCTTCAGAGAGAACACAAAAGCAACATTTGCTGGAGACACTCGCACTGCACTCCATAGCAACGAGAGGTTGGCTGGACCCTTCAATCCTGTCCAACGACCCTGGCAGGAACCTTCTAGAGGTTAACACCATTTCCAGTAAGAAACGCGCCAAAGACAAAATTGGATTTAGCGGGTGCCACTGAAGAACGACCTCAAAACAGACCCAACTCAGCCACATTGGGTGCAAAACCCGTGTTCGAGCGTGTTTTTTTTTGAAATGACACCCTTTCAGTTAAAACATCTGTTTTCACAAAAAGCCCAACCCTGTCAAATAGCAATTCCATTGGAGATATGGAGCCCCCAAGGACCGAAAGCATTCCCTCGGGAACCCGAATCGGAACTCCTAAAATGTTTGTCCCCTTGTCCTGGTGCTCACAGGCACTGTAGGTAACCAGGGAAACCATCATGACCCAGAGGTAAACATACCTGACCTCCTATCGTGGCAACTGGAAGTGGTCCCCTCTCAATCGTGGGTTGCTCCTCATGTTTTTTCCCTGGCCTGTTGCGCCCAAGCCAGTGGTGATCTGGTTCACGGTGATGGTGAAGTCACTGGTGGTTGACACATCCGCATAAAAGCCTGCCATCGACACAACCGGATCGCTCCCATCTTTAAGTTATTATACGGACTACATATTGTTCTACTACTTGTTTGACGTCTAGAATGTGTATGAATTATATTGAGATATATACATACAAATACATGTGTACATGTTTTGCGCACAGGCAGGGGGACCAAAGCGAATGGGTGTCTTTTGTTTCTAGAGCTTGTGTCGGTGAAACCGCACAATCCCAGATTCTGGCATCGAAGCAACAGCACATTCCCCACAACCCAACCCCCTTTTGATGGGTCAGCCCGAGAGTCAAGCCTCATTACCTGGCAAGGGTTCTTGGAGATGCGGCCGGCACCCTGGAGAACCTTTCGCGTTGGTTACCCGTACACCACTCGACGAATGAACAGCTGCTTGGTGGTGCTTGGTGCGTTTTTTGCTACGAGCTCGCCATCCAATACGTGCTGGCAACGCATCTTACCTCAAGCCTAGCAATTCCTGAGCTGCCCGGATTCATCGTGCTGCTAGCACCAAGCAGCCTTGAGTGCATCATAAGTCTGGATCACCGCGTGTCGCAGCAGCTCCAGATTTAAAAAAGGGCAGCCGAAGCAGCCAAAGTAACTTGGATTCACTGGAAGCTCCTCAACTGTTCTTACCTGCGTAACCACGTATTACAAGTTCCTCAAGCTCACTGCAAACAGGCGACAGCTCGAGTTAGGCTGGCTTGCTAGACGGGGACACCGTGCTTGCGCTTGTGCAGCCCGTCAAGATGGCTGCCACTGCCACTTCTTCGGCATTTGCGCTCCATGTGCAAGGGGCGGAGGCTTTGACATGGGGTGATCCCGGATAGGGCGGAAGCCGTAATCCGGTGCCAGCGCAGTTGAGGAATGTCCATCAATCCAAGCCATTCGCTTTGGCTGCCATTCTGGACTCCGGAGCAGTTGAGGCATGGGGTGATCGGTACGGCGGCGGCGACAGCAGCCTGGTGCAAGAGCAGTTGAGGAATGTCAAGCAAATCTAAGCGATTGACTGTGCCTCTTGCTGCGATTCTGGAATCGGAAAAAAATGGCATGGGGTGATCGAGGCGGTAGCGGGGAGTGCAGAGAGGCCGTTGAGGAGTGTCTCCTGCAAATTCAAGCGACTGGTCTTGCTGTTGCTGCCATTCTGGACTCTGGATCAATTGTGACACGAGGTGATCCACACGATGGAGGAGACAGCAGCGCAGTGCAGGAGCAGCTGAGGCATGTCCAGCAAATCCAACCGACTGACCGCAGTTCTGGAATCCGGGGCTGTTGTGACATGGGGTAATTCAGACAGCGGTGGCAACATCAGCCGGGTGCAAGAACAGCAGACATATCCAAGCAACTCGGTTTGCTTTTGCTGCCATTCTGGACTCCAACGTCGGAGACAGCAGCCAGGTTCCAGAGCAGCTCAAGAATCTTCAGCAAATCCAAGCGACTGGCCGTGCTTTTGCTGCGGTTCTGGAATCTGGAACTGTTGTGACATGGGGTGATCCAGACAGCGGCGGAGACAGCAGCCTGCAGGGGGAGGCTCGCAATATCTATGTGGGAACACATGGGTACTGGGAGTTCAATTTTCCTAAGTCAGGCGCAAAGGCCCTGTGCCACAGGCAGCTCATACAAGACCTCCTAGGCGGACCCCTGGAGGCTGGGCTGGGAGTGCATCACACCGACGGGGAGAGAGACAACAATCAGGTTCAGAACCTAGATCTGTTGGACTCTACTCAACATCAGGGTGTGCGCAGGAGGGGGAGGTAGTGCAAGCTGGGGTAAAGCCTTCTTTGCAGCCCAGAGACATCCACAGTCGATCCTCTATCCACCCCACATACCTGAACTCCCAAACCCTAAACAAACGTCCAGCGAACGTCCAGCGACCATGCTTTTGCTACCGTTTGCAATTTTGGATCTGTCCGCTGGAGACACTGCGATGCTGCAGCGGTCAGCTCCGCGATGGAAGTGTCAGGTGAGAATGATAAGGAGCACCCAATGCCGCTCGGCAAGTAAACAGCCACTTTCATGCCTCAGGGAGCTTCCGTTCGAGAATGCAAGTTGCAAGGCTGGTTCAGCTGTTGCCTGGGCCAAAGGCTAGAAAGGGCACCCTTCAATAGGCACAATTCAAAACCCGCACAAACAAAACAAAACGTGGGATAGGAAACTATTTGTTGCAACTGTGCGGGTGAGCCCTTCCCAGTTTCTGATTGCCAACGGGCTCCGTGCATCCAGCTATATGAGTTAGACACAGACCGAGCTTCTGAAGGAGTCACCTCCGATTCAGAGCCTAGATGTCAGCAAGGTCAGCGGAGTTCGCTTTCAGCAAACAATTTGTTCTTTGAACTCCCTCTAGACAAAAACAGTACTGACGAAAACAACTAAGCCAAACAAACTCAAAATGCCGATATCAGTAAAGCCTCTGTGCTTCTCAGGGAGCCCATTCCGGGTAGTGCTTTCAAGGTGCAGTTTAGGGCCAAAAACACATGCAAGGCCAACACACACAAACTTGCAACAAACCTGTCTCAGCCCCTGCCTTGACGGGACAAACTATATGTTGCGCAACCATCTGGGTGACTCACGGCAATTGATCAACCTCTGTTAATGTGTGGCTGCCATACTTTGCCCTTTATAATTACAATGAGTTAACATCTAACGCTCAACTATCAGCTTGGACTGCATGCGGAGTGTCTGATGAATGCGACATAGCATAGGTGATGTAAGAGGGTTAGAATAACGCAACTAGAGGTTCCACTGCTTACTCAGACCAAATTCAGACGAATTCAGAAAGGCTCGGGGATCTGCATTTGCTTGGCACCCATGTTTCTCCCTCGAGTAGACCTGACTGATGACGATGGTGATGGTGATGATGACGAGGATGATGCTGATGCAGCTGACTGACATGATGATGCATGTATCCTTGCCTCCGAGGCAAGGAACTAGCGAGCCAAGCACGACTTCACAGATTGCTTGCCACCTCCAGTGCCCAAACCTGTGGCCATGGGAGAGAGCCGGATTCTGAAGGGAACTCCCCGCACAAAAATACAAGAAACAGATACACACCTCTGGAGGTCTGGCTACCCCGTCCTTCCGCAATCACTGCATTGGGCGTGGGCACATCGAAGCCCCGATTCACCACCTGAGGTGCGGATCACAAAACGATGCTAACAGATCCGCCAATGTTAGCTTGCCCTTGGTCTTTAGCGACTGGGAGCAAGCCATGTACGATCTGGGCAAACTGCGCCATGGGAATGCAGTTAACCCAACTGAAATCGCTAGTCGGGAGTCTTCACTCGGGGAAGCAGCCCCCAATCCGCTAAGTTGAGTAATTCAAAGTCAACATCAAACATATTGGCCATAATGGAACTGCAAACTCCCAAGGATACTGTTTTCGATTATTGTCCGTCAAATGCCCGACCAAGTCCAAATGTGGAAAGACTCTTGTAAGTACAATCACCGCCAAATTCCTTTGGACGGCTTGTACTAAGACAATGCTTCACACATCACTCATATGACGAGCATGCGGTTGCCAAGCTCCGTCCTTACAACAAGCACGTTTCATCCACGCAATTCGGTTTGGTGTTGGCAAGCAAATACCCACGCTGCAATGCATCAGCCTTTTGTCACTGTCCAACATAGAGCCCTGAAGGGGTATATACTGGGTGCGTTGTGCCTTGCTCAGCGGCACCCTCCTAAGCAACCGTCCCCTACGAAACATTGCTAGCCCCAAAGAGGGTTGCCTTTTCTCCTTAGCCAGCTCACTGAATGACTAGGCGTGTTGAAGAATTATGAGGGAAACAATTTAGAACTACTGCCGTATTTGTGAACCAGCTTGCTGCCGCGGCATCACCTAGATGCTTTGTGGCATGAGCCAACATGAACATTGGTCAATCTTCCAGCGCTTGGATATTTACCATCTTCAGTGGTGACCTTGCAGGTGTAGTAGCTGCTCAATTCACCTCACTGGTAAATGCGTTGTCTGGAAGAGTAAAACCAAAACGACTATCCATCCACCAGTACGACTTCCTTTTGGAAAGCAAACATGGAAGATTTGTTTGCGCTCAGGATTCCAGAGCAAGGCCCCCACGCGCCTTGCAGTAGGCCCGGCCCGCTTCGTTCATGCTCAAAGTCACTGTGATGCTGTCCTGCCGGGCGCATCTGTCCCTTAGAACAAAGGCAAACACTGGACTCTAGACTAATTTTGGTCATGTTCATGGAAGAAGTGCTGGCGACCCAATTTGCAGCACATGCCGCAGGCAACCTGCACCACTTTGAAGATCCAGCTTCTGAACCCCTGAACTGAAGGGATTCTATCTGGGAGAGTCAAGCAATTCACCTGAAACTCAGCATGAAATAAACATTTGTTGAAAGACTTTGTTGCGGGCAAGACTCTTTGCAACATCGTGACTTCGTTTGCTGTCTGCTTTCTCAGTCTGAGCTTCGTGACAATACTCAGAACACAAAGTGCCCAACTTTTTTCAGTTAACTAACATCAGTGCAAGTGCTTGATTTCTTAGCAAGGATCTGTCCTTACTTCTGATTGGGAACCCCTCCTCCCCCGCCTCCCTCACCTCTGACTAGAAAATTGTCCGATAATGGGTCTGAAAAACTCAAACAATATACCCATTTACTTGTATATAGGTAACCAACACCCCAACCAGGACATGGCACCCAACTCCGGGGCCCCAAAGCTTCCTGTGTATACATATATATATATATTGGGTGTGTCTTTAAGGGACCTCTCCCACCCAAGAACAAACAAGCTCAGGTGCTATCCCTAACAGCCCGCGGCACTTTTTTCCTGTTTTTTCTCGAAACCTTGCACCCCAGAGCCCGCGCGGAACTCGCAGAACCCTGCGGGGCCCTCGCAGAACCTCGTGGAATAGAGCCCGCTTTTTATCTGGTTTGCACCACACCAAACTTCGGGGAATGCTCGAACCTGACGCCAGAGCTCCGACCCACCCCCAAAGCTTATCGGGGCTGCGACCCCTTAGCTTTTAGCTGTCGGGGAACAAACAACACGGCTTCGGTTGTCTTGTCCCTTTGGGTTTTCGTCCCACTTGTCCCTTTGGATTTTCGTCCCATTGAAACCAAAAACAGGGGTAGCAACTCAAAAAAAGACGAGCCACCCATCTGCCTAGAGTCTCCTTGACCCTTTAAAAATGGGGTCATTACCGAAAATTAAGGGGTCATGACCCCTTTTTCTAGGGGTCATGCAAACTCCAGGTGGTTCTTTGGGGATTCATCCGCTCCGAAGCTTTCCACGTTCCTCGGTGAGGGGTGTCTCCGCGCAGGCGAAGGTACCGAAGCTGGGGGGTGTGGTGTCCAGCGTGCGCACCTCAGCCGGCGATCGAAAACGGCAAACATCGGTTCCGGCTTTGAAGTTCCCAGAGGGTCCAAGTTCTCTCATGAGGATGGCTTTTGGGGGGTAAAAAGGGGTCTAAGTACCTCCTTAGAAGGCACTTGGACCCTCTGAATTGTTTGACTTTCAAGGAAACCCCAGCTCGCGAGACTTCAGGTGGTCAAGACTGCCAGTTGCATTGAATTGGTCGGCAAACCTGTGCCGTTGAAGTACAGGTGAAATCCAGAATAGTCCTTTCTAGCGAAAGCGATTTCGTGGCTGACATGTTGCAGAAAGCATTTCCTGGAAGTAAATCTTCAAGCATCAAGCCCCCAAAGGGTGTAGCTTCAGAGGGGGGTCCGAACATGACTCTCGTCGCCCGCACTTCTAAACTCACAGACCCCCATTCTGGTTGGATTGTTTGCCCCCGGCGAGGGGGGAATATCGAACTGAAAGGGGCGAGTGTGGATTAGTCACTCCCCCCCTCTACATCCTTTTGGCAAGTCAGGAGTCCCTGGATTCGTCAAATCAGGTGCATAAAATCATGTAATGCAGAAACCTCCCCAAAATGGCCTGGTTTGCTGCGTCTCTGGTCGGAGTTGTCTGGCCCCGAGCCCGTCCATCCCGAAGCCATAAACCGAATCCACAGCAAGTGCCGTTCCCTATAAGCGTTCCACACAGGTTGCTTTGGTGCTACCAGTCCAGTTTCTGGGGCTCACAACCTTTGAGGAGTCACGAGGGCTTGGCGAAAGTTCTGAGTCTTTCACCCAGTGCTTGCAGGCGATCCAGGATAAAGGCAACCAAGCAAATTCATGTATAAAATCTAGAGGTACAAATGCCTGGCTACCTACCATAGTGGCTACTGCTGGGTCAGGGGATGACGGCAGTGGGATCCTCAAAGAAGATTGCTTGAGACATCTCACTCGCATTCGACGGAACAACCAAACCAACTCCTCAAAAGTGCCATGGGTCACACCCTTGCGATGTCGGATCAAACATGTCTTTCGCTTGACCAAACGTACCAGAACAATCACAAACCCCATGTCCAAAAGCGTCCTATCACCTACCCCGATGTTTAAACCCACCGCGGTCCTTTTGAGACTACCCACAGGGGAAATATAGGCACCCCTCTAGAATATCAGAGGCAAGTTCCAGCGTTCCGCATACATCCCTTCAACTCCTTGGGCGCGGTGAGTTTCTTTCACGCCACGGGCACCAGAGTACTCTGGTCGAGAGAGTGCGTCCATGACCTGTACAAACCACGGGTTTGTTCTAAAGCTGGATGGGGAGTTTACGGCTTGTTCTCTGACTTCTGCAGAAAAATCAAGGTGAGATAGAAAGTCTGGCGAGGCGAGGCTCTGCTAAGACCAAGACACTGCTACAGTCTCCCCGCGAGCTACCTCACACACTTTCCCAGTGCTACCAAATACCATTCTCAGAAAGCTAGACCAAGCCGCAAGCTGTCGTCAAACATGACTTTGTTCTTCAAGGAAGTGTTCTTCAAGAAGTGCTCTTCAAGATTGGAACACACAGATCGGCAAACCTGAGCTGACCGGATGCCATGGGATCAAGCCCCAGGGCTGAGTGGATCCGACGCCGGAAAAGCCGGGCGTCCGCCAGTGTCCTCCTTGCGGCCTCGCACCGTAGTGAGAGTACTCTGGGCTTGAGGAAAACAAACAGAAAACCAGATCCAGGGTTCCCCTACTCTGAAACCCCAGCAAGCTTTGGGCTCTCTCTCGCTGTTTTGCAACTCTGTCTCATGTCCGAGCCCCTCTCGGAAATTGGCCAGACCGTCACTTCCATCCGTCGCCTCGAAATAGGTCTCCGTTGTATGTTCAGGCTTGGGAGGACTCCCAGCACCGACGCTCTTGCCGAATTCACCCGGCGTCGGGACTAAGAGCAAGAGAGACTTGCCCCAAGTCCACTCGTTTTGCCAAAACGGGCAAAACGCAAATGCCAGACCCGCTCTCTTTGGCAAGAAATGGGTCCACCGATCAATAATCAATGGCACCGACTTCGGACTAGGTTCGGAAGGCTTGGAGGGATTGTGATCGAGCGAGTTTGACTGCGTCGAACTTTCTTGGCACTTCCCCATGGTATTCCACTTTCACATGCCTTGACCCTGAAGCTACTCATAAACGGTGGATATTGTCCCAAAACGTGGCGATTTCCCTGTAAGGACAGTTTGAGGGTCCTGCCGAGTCCAGCTGGGGAGCTGGGCACAGAAACGAAGAATCATCCACCTCCGCCTGGAAGCACTCCACCCGTTGATGGAAGTCCAAAGGGGAGCCAATCAATTGGCCAACGGGAAGTTCCAAGCACCTGGGCAAATTTCGACATTTGCAAAACTGGACACGTTGAATCGCCAAGTCAGGCAGCTTTGCGGGAAAGCCAGTTCTAGACAAAATGAGCGAGAGAGAGAGAGAGAGAAACCGGAGGAAAGCTCAAAGGCGAACGAGAACTTGTTGAAAACGGCCTACCTAGATCGCCAAGTTGCTGCTTTTTTCAGTCACTGTTGCTGGTGTTTGGGGTACAGTGCATGGAAAAAAGCAGCAACCGGCGATCCAGGTAGTTTGCTTCACAGTTGGAGACCCAGGCCCAAAGGTTCCAAGCGATTCCGAACGGACCCTATCTCCAGCATCTGACCTGCTCAGTTCACTGGCAGAAGTTCAAACTTTCTGGGCCTTGACTCACATAGGTTTTGTAATGGGTTTACAAATTCTACCGGCCAAAAGTTCAACATATGTCAATTGAACAGATATGGTCATGTGCTGTTGCTTAAAAGCTCTCGGTGCTCACGCGACTGCGCAGCTGCCGAGCTGTGCCGATCTTGGCCTGCCGGTGAGCAAGCGAAGCACTGGCTCGTGCGAGCAATCTTGGTCGGCCGCGTGAGCAAAGTCCACCGCCTTGCGGCCCTTGGAGGTCTTGGATTTTGGGTCAGCGCCTGCTGCCAATCGGATCCTTACCAGCGGGTAATCTCCGTTCTGCGCGGCCACATGGATGGGGAGTATGTTGCTCTCGCCAAAAAGCGTGAACATGCAGGATCGCGGGCTGTTCACCGCCTGGAAGTTGTGCAACTCCAAGAATCCATGCAACATGGTCCTGCTGAGCACGCCTTCGTCGTGGCTTCTTTGCCAAACCCCGACGAGATTCCACGGAGCCTCGGAAAAGCTGAAGCAAAGCTCCTGAGACTCCTCGAATTCCAGCTCCGGTGGCTTGGGCAAGTCCACCGGACTTGACAAACGCATCCGGCTTGCTGGGACACATCAGAGCGCCCAGTCGCTCCATGGCACCGACAGTCCGGGGCGAGGTGTCTTTCCGGCCGACAAAACTGCCTTGATATAGAGGTACGTTCGAACTACTTGAGTCCGACCAAGTGGACGTTGGGCAGTATTCGTCAACTTTGGACCAACCCGGATCATCGACTCGATTGCTTTTGATCTTGGCCAAACATAAAACATAAAGGGGGCAGGGGGAGGACAACTTCCTCATCAATCAACCGGTGAGCTTCCACAAAAATGTAGTTTAACCAAGCATAATGGCACCGGGCAAGACTTGGCGAAACCCGAAATCCAAGAGTTTAGGTTTCTGCTTGGCGTGGCTGAGGATCCTGTACGCGCTATGGCGAGCGAAGAACGCCCTTGTCTTGCCAGTTTCTGCACATCCAGAAAAACTTCCTTTTACCACGCCCTGCCCCCGTGTACCGCAAAAGAAGCAAACCTCCCGCTCAAAGCATAGCCCTAGGGTTCAACCCCCCAGTAAAAAAGAAAGGTTGGCCCAACTTTGGATGACACTCCTTAAACGTTTTGGTGGTTCTATGAGCCCCCATGGTTCGGCGGTAATCCCAGGGATGCCCCTTGGCCCCCAGGGGCCCAGCCCAGGGGCCCCGGCCGAGCGCTCCGTGGCCAGCATCTGGGACGAGGTCACCGTGTTGAAGCTGGGGATCTCGTCGTCCAGGGAGTAGCAGTACACCTCAAACGCCGGGAAAGCAACTTGCCAAACAAGACACATGGCTGTGGCTCAGAATTCACTGGGGTTACGCAGGTGTTTGTCTTTGGCTCCATTTGCCATGCCACTGTGGTACATTTGTTTGACCCACTGCCACATGCGTGCAGGGATTGGCTCCGATTTTGATCTGATCCGTGATGGGTCAATCCGATTCCAGTACTGTTCGCCCCGTAGGTCGGCACAGGTGTGAGAGTCCTTACCAACAAGAAGTGAATGCTTCTTTCAACCATGTCACACGTGACTTGATTCAAATATAAGGGCAAGGGGGGGTGGTGTAAGGTCAACTTTGCCGCAATCATCTTGTCTCTTCAACGCACTTACCCGCTCGTGTCCTTGCTGTCTCCAAACGTTGTGGTGCTGCAAACCTAGCCAAGGCAAGACCACCGCACTTCTCCTAACCCCAAAGAAACTGGCCACATCTGAAGCCTGCAAGGCTTCTTTGTTTTTCGGGCCGTTTTTTTTCTCCCATGTTTGTTGTGCCGTTGTGAATTCATACGGCCGAATGCAGAAAAACATATCTCTTGTTGGGCCGCTTGCCGGTGGCAGACTTCCGTCGATGCCGAAACAAATGCTTTCCCTAGTGCTTCATGCAGGCTTCTGAAACCCGAATCGCTCCAACTGGGATTGAGGGAGAGCCCAACAACTATGCCAACGCACTTGAGTCATACTGTCATACTCAACACCTGGTTAAAACACAAAAATGTGAACGCAAAACCATTATGACGGGAATTTGATTGTGGCTCACTTGGTCGAGGGCCAAAACCCATGGAGGCTTCCCTTACGCCAAAACCCCTGCTGAGCCGAAGGTTAGGCATCAAGATCAGAACTTCTGTACCCCTAGATTCGGCTGCCTTGAGAATTCTGGGCCCTCGAAAATGCCAGCACCACCCGGCAAACCCGCAGAGCATCGCAGCCAACACCAGCAAAAGTGTCCCAAACTGGCGGTCAACTCTACTCCGTTTGTAATTATGCTGGTTGGGAGACAGTGACATGAGCATGTTGTTTGCAGAGGACTTCTATATAGTAGCACTGCATTGAACAATTGTGACTGTGCCTTGGAAAATTACGGTCGCGACTTGATTTTGTTCGCCGAACTTGTGGTAACAAAGTTTTGAAGCATCATCCCAAAAGCCCGTTGCTGAGGAAGAAACAAACATGAACTGAACATTCTACCACAAGTCCAAACCACAACTAAGGGATCCTCAGGGAAAAAAACAGCTCTCATGGTGAGCTCGCTCCGCCAGGGGAACAGACAGATCTGTCCAACAGTGGCCTTCCGGCCAGAGAAACAGGAGCTTTAGCCTCCAACAAGCGCGAAAGTTCCAAGAGGACCTGTTGCGAAACGATTTCTTCTCAAAGGAAGCTGTGCGATTTAGGTCCGTCTATCCCTCATAGCTCACTCAGCTAGCACCCAACCCACGAGACTTTTGAGTGTGGTATGTGCAATTATTGGACCTTACTGAATGCACAACATAACTTCAACAGAGATCGCGGTGAAGTCCATGTATGCCCATTCCCCAGTTTGGGTATGTCTCAAAGCAAGGGAACCCATTTTTGACGATGTGCAAAGGAAACCAAACGGAAGCCGCCTGAAAGAAGTGGACCTCCCCAAATCTTGAGGCAACTCCAAAACCCACGGATGACCAGCTGATTCTATGTACCAATAACAACAAAGGCCCAGCAAATTCAGAAGACTGTTGGGCGCCCATAAGCCACACCTCAAAGGGGGGTTGCCTTTAAAGCAAATACCTGGACCCTCAAAGTACCAAAAAAAAAACCAACTCACTTCCTGAGTGGACTGGCCAAGCAAAGTTCATCTCTTAATCACCAAAACGGTCTTCCCACAAATGGACAAAGTTCGACAGTCCAGGAACTCGGGAAGTGAGACCAGGGATGTCACGCCATATTGGGCTGCAATAATTAACCATTTTTCAAGGGCAGCTTGAGGGTGGATGGTCCCGGTCCACAACCATGAAATCTCCCAAACCATCCAAACCACCAAAGGGTTACCTGCAAAAATTACTCAAACCATCCAAACCATCCAAACCATCCAAACCGTCCAAACCGTCCAAACCGTCCAAACCGTCCAAACCGTCCAAACCGCCAAAGGCTTACCCACATGGCAGCTCGAAAAAGGAAGCCACGTGCCGGACCCTGTTCTTTTGGGACGTCTTGGGCCCCGAGAGGCCTCTGGCGAGGTGCCCAGTAGAAGGTCTTGGCCACCAGCCCCGTGATGTCCACCTCGTGCTCCGCGAAGCCCTTGGTGGCGTCGTACACGGAGCTCCCCATGAAGTTCACTCCTCGAAAATCCGGTGCGACGTGTGGCTTTGAGGCAAGACGCGCGTTTTCGGCGCACCGGGAAGTAAGACGCGTTTGGGCGCGTTTTCGGCGCAACAAGGGAAAACTATAACCAAGTCTGGGCCCAGATTTGGATTCAACTCCTTCTTAGCATGATGAAATGGAGTGAGTTTTAAGTCCATTTGGAAGGGCATTCCTCATGTTACAAGCACCATTCGTTCAACAGCCCGCGAAATCATCCTGACTGTAAACGTAAGCAGCTATGAGCATCCAGGCCTTATAAGACATTTGTGAGTCAAAACCACCTGCTGTCACCAATTCGCACTTGTTTTGGACCCATGCCTCCCTGCCTGCCCGTGTCGAGCTGACCAGCGTGCTGAACAATGGGCGTCTTGATGTCTTGTCACCATCTTGGAGAGATTGGGTGTAAAGGCGACAAGTTGCAAATGCTCCATGCACAGAGAGCTTCCGGAGCATCGGAGCGTTCGAGTCAAGGTGCGCTGTCAATGGTGTGTTGGGTCTCCCAGGGATGCCATCATTCGGTACCAATCTTGTTGAATCAACAATCTGAAGAAAGGAGTCAATAGAAGCTGCTTCATTATGGAGCCCGAGCTCCTTTTACCCAGGAGCCATATTCGAACCCCTGCCCTTGCAGCGCAACCGTCAAACTCCCGCTCCGGCATTTGTGTTGATCTCATTGAGGCAGGAGGTACAGTCCGTGAGCGTCGGAACGTCCGTGCCTCCCTGGCAAGCGGGGGCCTCCCTGAGCCCCAAATTGGTTTGAACCGGGGATTCTTTGTATCAATCGCTTATAAAACACCTGGAACTTCCAGCACGTAAAATTAGTGATGTTTCCCGAAACAGCGCCGCCTGGTAGAAAGAACGCTCTTTCGCGGGGAGAAAAACAAAAGCAAAACGCTTGCTGTGTTTCCAGCTCGTGACAGGCAAATAAATACGCCGTTTTGCCGGCAAATTACGCCGTTCCGGCCACAAATTACGCCGTTTCAGGTTTTGATTTACGCGAAAGTGTGCAAACATCAAAAATGCCAGCAGGCGAAAATAATTTCCGTTTGGCCCAAAAACATGGTTTTTGCCAGAACTGCAATCATTTCGCACGGAATGGAAGACCCAGGTATGTTTCTCTGAAAGTTGGAAAGTATTTGGCCAGCCAAAAACTAGGATACCCAGATTACGGCACCCGAAGTCTTGCACTTCTGACCCCTGGGTTGAAAGCTTGCCCCCAGGCATTTGTCCGTTGAGAGCCGGCTGTGCACCCACACATCTCAAGAACCAGCCACCGCAGATTCGGGCATCTCCTGCTTGAACATGATGAAACCCCCTTTGATTGAACAGCAACAGCTGGGCCCTACGACCAGACAGCTTTGGCTTCCCTTCAAAGGGCTTCAGGGCCCCATTTTAACATATGCAACACGACCAAGAACAACCACCAGGTGACCAGCCGCGACTTTTCATGCCATTTGCCCAGGAACTTTCAGCGGGCAGAAGAAGACCCCCGCCTGCGACACGGGGCTAAAGAGGCTGCTGTCATAGGCGCGGCAGTACCTCACCGAGAAGCATTGCGAAGCCACGAAGCCTGGCTTGAGCCACACTCACGGAAATCCGTTTGTGACCTGAGTTGGCTGGTTAGTCAACACAGAAACATGCTCTGCAACAAGGCCACTTCAGCTTTTAAAGCCTTAACCTGGCACTTGCATGCTTCTTGTTAGTGGAAACCCTTAGAAGACAACAGAAAGCAACAACCACGGGCATGCAACAAATACAAACTATGCTCAAACAAAGCACAAAGGCCAATCGGTACTTCGACTTACTGAGTTCACGTCTGGCAAGCAAGTCTTTCGATGGCACCTGTTGTGACCTATCTACAAGAGGGCAGAGTTCAAACAAACATGGATGCAGAATCGCGAACGGACTGTCCGCGAAATCCAAATTGATGTATGTTGAGTTTTATCGACATCACGTTGACCGAGGAAGCTGTCATGGAGCGTCATGCGTGGCCTAAGTGTCTGTCGCCAGGAGTTGAAACGTAACAAACATTTCCAACACGAACAACGCATTTGGAACCTTTAACTTAAGTTGTATCCCAGCAGAAACTACGGCAACAACACACAAATAAGAGGACACACACACACACCAAGCCTCTGGACACGCTGCACGTGTTCGATTCTGGGGCACGGGGTTGCCCTTCACGAGTAGGGTCCCTGTGTGTAACCGCTGTGTACTGTTGAGCTGGAAACAATGTGTCGCATAGTGAAGGATCATGTTGACACAAACATACACTGAACATGGTTGACCAAGTAGGCGAGCTCGGGGAAACATGCACATCAAGTTACTCAAGAGCATCTCACTTGGGATCTCACGGTTTTTTCAACCTTGGTCGGCAAAGCGAGCTGGCCAACTTTCATGACTCCAATAAGGAATCCCTACTGGGAAAACGCCGTGGAGGGTACCCAATCCTTTCGTAATCCAATCGTTGAATCTTGCAGATTGGAAGTACTCAAATACGTATACAGCTCTGGGTGAATTATAACGACCTCAAACCCCCAAACCACCTTATTTCAGGCTGGTGGAATATGACAATTCACCCAGATAGCCTTCATCTTGAAAATGGGACCTCTAAAACGCTTTGGTTTCCTGTAATTTCCCTTTCAACACCAACCAACCGTGTTTGCCCATAAGCCAAGATGACCATTTGCCCAAGCTCGCAATGGTGGCCTTCTGACCCCCCTTGAGAAAACCACTTTGGCATAAGAGAATACCTGCACTTTCACGTAGGCCATCCAGTGATTGCTTTTTCATGCGATCGGAAAAGGACTGTAGGGCACGTGTCACAAGCTTCCAATACGCTGAAAATAGAACCCTGACCACTGGCGCAGGGCCTCCGCTCCTTCGCTCTCCCTCCGGGGCTCCAGACGTGGTGCCCGCCTCATCAAGGCGCACGGTCACGCGGATGACGTTTTCGGAGATGCCGTACCTGGGCAGACAAACATCCCGTTGCTAACCATATGGTTAACAAAAAACGGAAACCCGGCTTTGGCTGTTAGAAGAAACCTGGTTGGGTGTGGTCATTCAAGCAGGCTTGAAAGGAACTTCCGTGGTATGGCAACTACTTGAAAGCTCTCTGAACCAATTGTCTCTAGAGAAGAATAAGCACGCGCGAACAAATGCGTGCTCGTGTGGACATGTTCAAACAGTGAAACCCTCTGCGAGGAACGCGTCTTTGGGCTGCTTGAAAGTTTTCCTGATCGAGACGCCTGGTCGGAGCGCGTTCGGAGCGCGTTCGGAACGGACCCACGCGCACTTTACACGACAATAGATTGCGTGGCAGGCGCAGCACTTTCGCAGGGTCATGAGCAGATGGCGTGTAGATTTCGTGGCAAACGCAGCGCTGTCGTAAGGTCATGTGCGGACTTCGTAGCGGGCACAGCACTTTCTCAAGGTCGATAGATACGAGATATACATGTATACATGTAGATAAATAGAAAGTATGAGACAGGCAAATAGACAGCTAGGTTGCTAGAGATAGGTAGGTAGATAGACAAACAGACAGACAGACAAACAGGCAGATAGAATAGATAGATAGATAGATAGATTAGATTAGATTAGTTTAGATTAGACTTAGACTTAGATTAGATTAGATTAGATAGGTAGATAGACAGACAGACAGACAGACAAGATGGATAGATAAACCGATAGGAATGATCATATCGTTAAGGTAGGTAGGTAGAAACATAGATGGATAGACAGGTAGAAAGATGGACGGACGGATGGATAGAAAGAAAGAATGAAAGAAGGAAACAATTAACAAATGAAAAACACACACCAGAAAAAGGAAAAAGGGAAGAAGGGAAGGGAGGAAAGGAAAAAAAGGAAAGAAATACCGAAATCAATGAAACAATGACGATAACAAACAGCAAGAACAGAAAAATAAAGAAGAACAGAACACAAAAGAAAACTATAGTTCTTACAGTTTGCCGCTTCCGCCGACCGCTGGTATGTGGCCTTGTCTGGGTTTACATTCAAATCCTCATTGGCACGGTTCCCAGTGAAACACCGAATATGGGGACTGCTGTCCGGAAATCACCCTACACACTCCATCAGGTCCTGATGCTTCCACACTTCACGGAAGCACCCAACTGGGGCTGACCAGTTTTAGTGAGCACAGCAACTCAAGACCTGGGGAAACAGCTTCGCTCGAATATAGAAACAAACCCCTCCTCCAAATTTTAGAAGCACCCGTCTGCACCAATCACTAGCTGGACAGTCCATCTAGCTTTGTGAATGGTGTTGCCAAACCCGCAATCACAACATGGCGGACAACTTCAGGGCTTCAGCGAGCACAACGGTCAACAACACACCCAACATGAATCTTAAACACAAAAAACAAAAACAACGAGAAGCTCCAAATACACTTCAGTGACTCCTACCAAATCGGGTCCTCCGAAACTCCAGGAGCTTCCTTCCCGGAGAGGGGGAACGGTGGCGAGTCGAGCTTCAGCTATTCCAGTCGGAGCGGCATGCTCACCACCGTAATGGTCGGGGGTGTCAGGTCCTCGGCCCATGAGTCTCCCTTCCCCAAGGCTCCGATCGGCTTCGGCTTTTAATGGAAGACCCGACCCCTCCATTGGACACGCCGGAGGTGTTGAGGGCCCTAAATGAATCGAATTGGAGCCTCAGGGTTCTGAGATGTGCTCCCCAAAATTCACACGGAGCCCCAAGGAGCGTGTTGCAAAATGGGCTGGCTTGAGAAACATGTCTTGTGCTTCGTGATCATTTGCAGGGAAGTAAACATCCCCTTTCTGCTCAGTTTGAGATGAGTTTCAGTTTTGTGGGATGGGGATACGGAACCCTGGGGAAAAGAGCCCCGCGGCTGCTGTATGCTCTACGTGTGTTTGCGTGCTGATGTACACATGTAACCAGATGAAACACCTAGGTCTTGGACGGGGGTACCATATAGCTACCTCCCATGCTCA